GCCTGGCTCTGCCTCCCGAGTGCTGGGATTAAAGGCGTGCGCCACCACCGCCCGGCGGATTTTTTTTTTAATTAAGGATCAACAAACTGTTAAAGGAAGCTTCGAAGGAAGAAGACTGGGGGAAGCATCTGGAATTAAACATCGCATTGGACTACAGCAACTCCAGGAAAGCAGGGTTTTGTTTGTACTTTTAGGGCTGTGGAAATATCTGGACCAGAATCTTAGAAGGCACCGGTTAAAAATGTAAATTGATGTGTTTTTCCTCTCCTGGAATTTTTACAATCAAACGTGAGTGCAGTTTTCGGCAGAGAGCCCAAGTGGCTGTCCAGTGAACTTTTCTTGGTGGATCAGAAAGGATTCCGAAGGGTGTGTGTGTTGGGGGGGGGGGGTTGTCCAGCAGGATCTGATCCCAGCCACCCTCCAGCAAAGCTGCCCTCTAGCTTTTCCCTGAAGTGGTCTTCGGTCCCAAGAGCCCACCTGAAGGCACACTGGAGTGCAGGGTCACTGACAGACAACCGCCAACACCTATCAGCGCACCTGAGGGTGCTGTGGTGGCCTTCCACTACTGAGAGGGAAGGAGGTTGGCCAGAAGGGTGTGGTTACCTGCCCCCCTCCCTCCGCACCCAGGTACTGCCCCGACTGGAAGAGGAGTTTGGAAGCCTCTAGCTTAGGCCTGTTTGTCCCGTCAGTCCCTGGGTGGGTGGGTGGGTAGCGCTAGGCACCTGATAAGCCACAGCTAGACCTAGAGTCTTAATAACAAGACTGAACTGACTCAAGCTGGAGAGATGGCTCAGAGGTTAAGAGCACCGACTGCTCTTCCAGAGGTCCTGAGTTCAATTCCCAGCACCCACATGGTGGCTCACAACCATCTGTAATCTGGCACCCTCTTCTGTATACATAATAAATAAATGTTAAAAAAAAAAAAAGATTGAACTGACTCTCCCCTATCTTGGGGTACAGGAAGTAGAAATGTATCATGCGTGGTCCCCCTTATTTATGGTGGAAACTAGTCCTAGATTCTTCTACCTGTCATGTTTCTTCAGAGGCTACTCACTTTGGGCTTCTTGAACCCACAGGAACACCACTTTCAGATTCTACTTTCTCACCGGCTCCCTCTTTGCCTTTGCTTAGAGCCGGATTGAGCTGCAGAAGCCAGGACACAGTGTTTGCAAGCCTTCTGCTGCTTGGCACCATTGTCCTAGGCTCCCAGAGGAGATATGCTCACCACACAGAACCACCAAAAAAAACTTAGGTCCTTCTCCTTATGGTTAAACATATGAGAAAAAAGAAAAGAAAAGAAAAGAAAAATATCCAGACGAAGAAACCAAAGTGGAATGTTAACATCTCTCTTTCCAAAGAATTTTGTGAGCGAGAACAATCTGGGCTGTTTCCTACACCCGCAGAGGAAGCCTGTACCATGTTCCTGCTGGGTTGGTTTCCTTAGCAATAGATAAAACAAACAGTCGGACCGGTGACTATCTTTATTTTAAAAATAGTTACCGCATCTTAAAAACCAAACAACAAATGTGAAAAGAGAGGAATTAGTATGCCAGTCGCCTCACTCAAGGCTTTTTTATTTTTTAAAGTCGACTTGTTTCTGTCCAGTGCTGGGAACTGGACTCAGGGGCCTTGTATGCCGGTCAAGTGTTGACCGTGATCCATTTAATTGAGACATGATAATTGGAATTCAATCAACAGGGTGGTAAGTATACTGTCCCGTGAGTCTGGGCACGTGGAAAAGCTCGTGGAAGGCCCCAGTAATATAGAAAACGCTGACGTTTTTAATGAACCCTTCCGGTTAGTCGGTCCAGGTCTGCCACAGACTTGAAGCAGTGCATCCTCTGCAGATTTTATTCGTTTGTATGCTTATAGAAAATGTGTCAAATTGTAGGATGTGCGTTTTTTTTTTTCCCTCGAAATTCTGCAGGCTCCTTTATATTTTTGCCGGCACTCAAAATTTGTTATATCTTTCTGTGCGCACTTTTTCTCGCGCATTTGGCGGGGATATTTCCAAAGCGAAGTTTCTCTTTGGTCACTCACTCGCTGTGATTTCAACTTGATGGATCTGATGGGAGCCGCTTCCCGACCTCTGCAGCGGTTTTCCTTATCTTAGTCCTCTTTCTCCTCAGCTCCAAGCTCCTGTAACACTGTTTTCCACCTGCCCTGACCGCTACAAACTGCTACAGCATCAACAGCGCGCAGCGGTGGAGCTCTGGAGATCCCTCAGGATCCCGTCTCAGGAGGTGATAATTTGAAAAATCAGGTGACATTGGAGTGGGGCAATGATTCAAGATGCGGCGAGGAGAAAACGGTGCTTTTTAGAGCCAACCCAGGCTAGTGCGGCGGCTTGGAGCTCCCGGAGGCGTCTCTGCAGACTTCTTGGGCTTGAGCGCTCAGATCAAGGACTCGTAGCTGCAGGAAACGCGTGGGTTTTCACTTCTAGCGCCGCCGGCGAGCCCGGCCTCCAAGGGCGCCGCGGGCTGTAGTCGGAGTTGAAGAATTTGTGCCGGCTCGTTGCCGTTGAAACCCAGACAGCAACTCCGGAGCCTCCGCCTCCCTCAGGGACTGCTGGGGGTCTCCCGTGGGCGGGAATCAGGCTGTAAGTGACCGGTCACCACATGTTCGATGCTTCCTAGGATCGTAGCCCTTTCTCTTCCGCATCGTCCTTTCCTTACAGGTCGTGTCTTAAGATTCTTAAAGTACGCTGGTGTCCCGCAGGAAACGCCGCTTTCTCCCACGCGGGCCGAGCGGATTATAAACCGGTAGATGGCTAAGTGTCGCACGGGAAAAACCCTGACTGCGGACGGTTGAGTCCCATCAGTGTCCACCCTGAGCGTCCGCAGGCGGCCGGGGGCTCGGAACTTCAGGCTTCAGCAGCAACTGGGCACCGGCGGAGAGTGCGCCACAGCATTCTGCCCGCCCGCGAGTTGGCGAGAAGCGGGATGGAGACGCTAAACGAATGCAGTGTCACACGCCACGCTTTCAGGATGCACATGACGCTGCAGACATTCAAGCCCTTAAAAGGAGCCTGTAAACTTGGGAGGAGAACGAGCGGGACTCAGAGGCACACCGGTTAGTGTGCACAACATGCACGGGGACTTTTGCAGAACTTACAGGGACTGTGAGGTGGCCCCGCTGCCCCTCGCTCCTTCTACCTCCAGCCTAGCTGTGTGGGACACCCAGAGTCATTTTCCGACCGGTGTAAACGCATCTTTGCGCTCTCAGAGCTCTACTTGCACGTCGCCTGTGCAAACCCTCTGCTGTGTGGCCTTGTATCTTTAGGTAGGGACATCTTTTGTCTCTCGGCAAGAAGCTTTCCTCCAGGGAAGATAAAGTAATCGATAGGGTCTTTTAAATAGCTCCAAGTTTCCTGTCGGGCCAGGAGTATCAGCGCACACACCAAATCTGCTCTGGTATGTCATCTTATCTCCCTTCCCCGCTGTTGTCCCCAAACGCTGCCTGTCAAGAGAGACGCCACCCGCATTAGGACCCAGACGGGGGCCCTTCCGCTCGAGGTCACGCGCTGCCCCCTCGGCTCCGTTGTCCTTCGAGGTCCGGGAGGATAGGGAGGAGATGCTGCTGAAGGAGATGCGGGTGAAGGTTCTGGGACGGGGAGGTGTGCACTGTCACTCAGAAGGGGGCATCTGGTCTGTTTTCTAACCAAGAACACGGGGAATCTGGCCTAAGAGCTAGTCCCGAAACAGCAGAACAGCGTGTTGGCTGTTGGTCTGTGTGGAGCAAAATCAATCCGGCTCATCCTTCGAAGTGGCCGCCGGACTTGAGAGAGTGCCAGTCGGGTGAATTTGGTTGGGCAGAGGACAGTTCCTGAGCCCCAAGATTCAGGGGATCCTCAAAACCCGGCCATTCTCCTTCGCTCCAACTGCTCCACTTGCAGCCTGCAGAGAAAGGAGTGGGACTACTTTCTGACCTTAGCAAACAAAGGAAGGCCAGCCTTGGAAACAAGTGACCACCTTGACCAGTAGCAACAGCTTGGCCATTTTTTTTCTTAAAGTAGTAAGTCCTAGTGGAATCTTTGGGCCAGGTCTCTGCAGCCATTGACCTGTGCCCCAGTGTTTCTAGGCATCCTGATCGGATGGTAGGCCCAAATCCTCCTTGGGTATCTAAGCACCCTTAATGTTCCCTTCCTTCATCCCCTCCCCCATATTCAGCCAGCTGTTATCGCCCCCTTTTTTTTAATAAAGAAAAATAAAATTAGAAAAATAAAAGTTCTCAGATGTCCTGTCAGTACTGGTGTCCACCAGCCTTGTCCACCTCAGGTATATATCCAACCTCCTTTATTTCACATCCATACACACTGCCCAGGAAATCACTTCTTGGCTTCAGTACAGGCTTGCTCCCTTCCAATTGCCCAGGATCATTCTGGATTACTCCAACTGCTGAAAGAGGACCACCCACCAAAACACAGCCTGAGGATAATCTAGGCCTTGGGAAAATTTGGCTCGTCATTTATCAGGGTTTATTTACCTAAGATAGCCCGTTTCTGTAAGGAAACAAAGTCGGGGCAAACACCACCCGTCTCCCTCCTGCCGAGGTAGAGGCCTTTCTGAATCTTTATGTTGGCCGGCTCCCCGTGGGCCTGCGCATATTATCCCAGCCCCAGCTGACCTTGATTCTTAGCAAGAGCAAAAGATTGGTGCAGTCCCGAGCCCTTTGTGCTGTGTGGAAACCCCACCGACTGAGACTTGAGCACCTCAAGCTGATTTGGGACCCATGACCTTCATCTCTGACCTCTGGTGTTATTCTGATGGACTGGTCCTTCTCTTCTGGACAGACCTGCAGACGGCCATTTCCCCAGGTAGACAGAGTGCTCGGTTAGGTAGGACAGTGTTTGAAGAAACACTTGCTTGAAGGGCATCTTTCCTCCTAACAAAATATGGGAAGTAGGAGATTGGGAACAGCTCTCTGGATGGGAGGAGAGTTGGGGTAGGGGACCCTGGGAAGAACTCTGAGTAACATCTCTGGGAGATGGAGGCATAAGAACGTTGGCTCCTCACCCCTGTGACCCACTCTTCCACCTCTTCCACCCCCAGAACATTCCCAGGCCCAGCAGTTCTGCCCCTCTCTTCTCTGAACGCAGAAGTGTGGCTGTGCAGTCTGGTAGTTCTCGGGAAGCTTTTTTTTTTTTATTTTTTATTACAACACAATGTGCATAAAGTAAAAATGAACCGATTTGTGAATTTTCCCAAACTGAACACAGGTGATGAACACGTGATTTTTTGTTTTTGTTTGCTCGTTTTTTTGTTTTTTGATATAGGGTTTCTCTGTGTAACTGCCCTGGCTGTTCTGGAACTTGCTTTATAGACCAGGCTGACCTCAAACTCACAGAGATCCACCTGCCTCTGCTTCCAGGCATGCCTTTAATCCACCTGGCTGACTTAAGAAACAGAACACTCAGAACCGTTCCTCAAGTAGTCACAATTCTCTCTCTCTCTCTCTCTCTCTCTCTCTCTCTCTCTCTCTCTCTCTCTCTCTCTCAACCTAGATTACTCTCATCTGTTTTTGAGATTCATTGTATACCCAAGCACACAGGATGGAGACTACGTGTCTCACAACATGTATGCAATGTCTGCTCACGAGATCTTAGCCAGGCTGTACTATCAACTCCCTTCTGCTCTCATTGTATTAATATATTCCAGGCTGAACATCCCTGACTGAAATTCCAAAATCCCAAATGCCCTCCGTCTGAAACAGCCCCTGCACCCACACACCTGAGCTCATGTGTGCCAGTCATATCAAAAGGACAATAATAGACAGCGTAAAATGACTTTGAGGCTGTGCGTATGGGAAGCAAACAGATTCTGTTTGACGCTGGAGTTCTGGCCCTGAGATGTCTCACTATTAACCCGTACTTAGGCAAGTATCCCGAAATCAAGTATCCAGGCAACCAAGCCCTGTGTCACTCTGGTGGGAAGCATTTCAGATGAGGGACATTTCGTGAACTGTGCCATTCATGTTCTGCTGGGTCTCTTGCATGTCACAAAACTGTGGTGCTTGTTTTGCGGAATCTAGCACCTACCTTCCACGCACATTTCTATTGTGTAAACATCCGTGAGTAGCATTGCCGGGGCATAGCATGTCCACAGACTCAGCTTGAGTTGATTTTCAACAGTTTCCCCCCTCACACAGCTGAACGGAACTCTGTTCATTCGGACAGCATTCAAGGCTTGCAGCTTCCCGCCCGCCCAGCAACGCTATGAGTACACTATGAGTTTCTAAAGTTGAAGCCGGTTTTGGCAGGGGTGAGGTTGTCTTGAGTGACTAGAGAGAATGGAGGACTTTTTTCAAAGGCTTATTGACTTTTTTGAATATATTTGTCCAAGTGCCTGTCTAAACCTTTTATCTTTTATTTTCATTAGTGTGTTTTTATTTAATTCATAAAATTGTCCATTTTAACTTTTTAAAAATCTGATACAGTAATTATAACAGTTGTGTATATTATGTAATGCTTTAATACGCAGTTTGTCAAATGCTTAAATCATGTTCAGCGTACGTATTTCCTCAAATACTGTTCTTCCAGCTTTCTGGATTCTGTACCATCATGCATAACCGCCCCGCTGTGACCCGGCACTGTATCACATCACAGTTGCTTGCTGGCCGCCTGCTGCCTGCGCTGCCTGCCGGGTGTCAGCTTCTTTTCCCTGCTCCTCCCTACCCTTTTTACTGTTGTTTGGTTTTTGTTTTCTTGTTTTCGAGACAGGCCTTACTATAACTCTGACTGGCATGGAACTGGCATGTAGACCAGGCTTGCCTCAAATTTGTAGGCGTGTGCCACCCCACGTAGCCTGGCTCCTTTTTTTTTTTTTTTAACTCTCTTAATAGCATTGGACACCCCCACCCTACCCCTTTAAAAAAAAAAAAACAACTCTCTGGTCCAGCGACCATGCTTCTTCTGGCCTTGAAGTTGTGACCCTACTAGCCATGTGTCTGGGGTGTCTGTGGCTGTGATATCTTCTTGGACTCTGGACAATGGCCTGCAACCCAAGAAAGTCCTGAAGACAGAACCCAGGACTAGCTCTGTTTGCTTTCCTCAGAGTTGCTAAAACATCTTCCCTCTGTCTTAAATGGGGGGCGGGGTGCTGTTCAACCATCTGTTAAATTTATTACCTTGCGTCCTTCTTTTTGGTATAGATGATGGGTCAAATCCTACCAAGCAATTTAAGCAGATTTCAAATCCCAAGGCTGGATTTTTTGGTTTTGTTATTGTTGTTGTTGTTTTTGTTTTTTGTTTTCCTTGTGATTGGTAGTAAGGCAGGATGGAAGGCCTGCCTCCCCAGCAACAGTCCACCTAGCCATGCCCTGCTCCTAAATTCCATGAGTTCTTAATTTTTAAAATTAAAATGTATTTGTTTTGTGTGTGCATGCCATGGCAGCGCATGGATGGGGGTCAGAAGACAAGGTACAGGAATTGGATCTCTCCCCTTGTGGACCCAGGAATCAAACTCAGGTAGCCAGGCTTAGCAGCAAGTGCCTTCTTCACACTCTGAGAGCTGAGCTGTCTTAGACGTTCTCATGCATTTAAAAAAAATCTGTGATGGCTGCAGGTCAGAAAAAAAAAAAAAAAAGCAGAAACTCTCAACCCCTTCTCTTGGAATATGAGTGAAATATGAGCATAGTTTAATAAGTCTTTCTGCAAGTTGGTAGTTCTTAAACACTTTTTTTTCAAATATTAGGCAAAAACAGCATATGATTTTTCTAAGTTATTATTAATTATTATTATTATTTTTTCTTTTTTAAGACAGGGTTTCTCTGTGTATCTCTGACTGTCCTGGAACTTGCTTTGTAGGCCAGGCTGGCCTTGAACTCAGAAATCCACTTGCCTCTGCATCCTGAGATTAAAGGCATGCACCACTACACGGGTTTTATTTTGATAATTTTGTATTATTATTATTATTATTATTATTATTATTTTCTTTTATTTTTGAGACAGGGTTTCTCTGTGTATCCCTGGCTGTCCTGGAACTCACACTGTAGACCAGCCTGGCCTCGAACTCAGAGATCCTCCTGCCTCTGGGATTAAAGGTGTGCACCCCCACTGCCAAGCTATTTTGATCATTTTTTAAGTGTCTGTAACCCATTGATATTTTTATTTGCATCTTCTAACTGTTAGGCTCGTTACTTCTTTTCTTGCTGACGTTTGAAATCTGTTTTTCTATTAGCTAGTGACCCTCTGACATTTTATTTTATGCTGTTATTATTATTATTACTTTACCACTTTCCTGTTTGTCTTTTTAAAGGTTTTATGGTACTTTATAATTTATAAAAGGAATATTCACACACAGTAGGGCTTTGGTTCCTAGTTAGTACTTACCATGGGCCATGGGGAATGCAGACTGTGACTGGACACAGGTCATGTGCTTCTTCACCTGCTTTGAGCACCAGGAACCCATGATAGGTGTCCTTAGAGACTAGCCCAATCTTCGTATTTCTATCCCAGGCATCACATCTGAGAAGACAGAAGAGGGAGTGTCAGTGGATTCTCCAAGGTCAGAAAAAAACTTCTAGAAGGCAAATCAACCTGAGAGGAGGGAGGATGAGGTCTGGGAATGACAGGCAGAAATGTCTGGTGGGTACACCCATACTCAGGCAGAAATGTCTTGTGGGGAGTACAGCTGTTTGCCCTTCCAGAGCCTTGATGTTCTCATCTGTAAAATGAGACAATAGCCACACTTTTTCAGAAGACTATGAGCATTAACGGAAGGGCATCCTGGATAGCAGGGTTTTCTGTGAGTATTCTCCCTGATGGCAGAAAAGCTTGGAGGCTTGCTGCAGGATGTGACCCCAGGTGATCTGTCTTTCTACTTGGAATGTCTTCATTTGACCTGAGTATTTGTTTCTCTTTCCCATCTCCAGAGCTCCGAACAGCAAGTCGCCACAGAAAAGTGGTCAGAGGCCCTGTTGAACCTCTGTGCCCTCTTTCTTTTTTATGATTAATTTCATTTTTAATTATGTGTGCACATGAGTGTAGGGGGTCACAGAAGCCCACAGAGGAGGGGGTTAGATTCCCTGCAGCTGGAGTTACAGGTGATTATGAGCCGCCCGAATGTGGGTGCTGGGAACAGTACTTGCTCTAAACCTCTGAGCCATCTCTCCACATCCTTCTTTAGACTTTCCGGAGTGGTGCCTGAGATGACTTCGGGCTGAAATAGAGCTGGAGATGTGGGCGGGGAGCAGAGGAGGGATCAGGAGCCATTTTGTCTCTACAACACTGCTGAGTCCTTGGCATCAGAGGGTAGATACCCCTGCTCAGTTGACACAGTTCTGGGAAGGTTTCGGGTGCTCAGTAAATGCTGCTGACTGACTGGGGAGCCTAACAGCGGCTCAACAGCGGAGGACCTGATTCTGTGCAGAGGCCTCGATGTGTGGTCTAGCTTGGACCTAATCCCCCTGCCCCAGTCTCCTGGAAGCCAGGCTGTGGAAGTGTGTGTGTGTGTGTGTGTGTGTGTGTGTGTGTGTGTGTGTGTGTGTGTGTGTGTGTGTGTGTGTGTGTGTTCCTGATTTAGGCTTTGATCCATGCATCTTCCCTCACTGCTCCTCTGTCTTTCCCAGGGGCTCAGAGAAGGGACGGATCAGGAGACAGGGCTATTGTACCTGGGGGCTCAGACCTGCACAAGAGGAAGACGTGGCTTTGGCGGCGCTCTAGCGCCTGAGCTGCCCTCTTGCTTTCTCGGCTTCAGCATCCTGGGGCTGGGTCCTCATGGGCATCTCCTCCTGTTTCCATGGCTGTGGCAGCCACCTTTCCTCAGCTCCCAAAGGTCCTGGAAGAGCAGCAGGCAGAGCGGCACCAACAGATTTTCCTCAATGGGAGGTCGCGGGGCCTTGCGCTAGCCAGAGCGTTCTCTTTGCTTGGCCTTTCGCTCTCCGCTCTCCGGCTCTCTAGGCTAATAAAGGGCCGCCCCGGGGAGCAGATGCTCCGACCCTGCTGCGGGGTTGCTGGTCCCAGAGCACCCGGGGAGCCGCGGAGCCGGGGCCGGAGTGGGGTGGTGGTGGCGGGGAAGGAGATGGTAAAATGGAGAGGCAGAAAGGAAGGGAGAGAGAAAATTGAGCGAGAAGAGAGAGTGGAGAGCAGCGGTGAGGAGAGGGGTCGGGAGAGGGAACTTCTAGGGAGCCGAACTTTCTAACTTTGGAGGAATTCTTCCGCCAGCCCCAGGTGAAGGCAGGTTCCAAACACTGCAATGAAACCCTTCCTCTCCGCCCCCACCTAGACTGACGGGCGGGGTGTCTAGGAAGGGGATTCTTAGAGGACGTTCCCTCTTGAAGAATCCGTCCGTCCTCTGCTGATCCGCTGCGGAAGTGAGCCTCCTGCCTGACTTGACCGGCGCTTTGGGTCTTGTGGGGAACTAAACAGCCGGGAGGAGGCGGTCGGGAACCTGCCCCGTGAGCCGTGTGCACCCCATCCGCTTCTCCCCCCTGCGAAACTCCGCACTGAGAACTATTTTCTAACCTCCGGTTTCAGACAGAAAGCGGGGCGGGTCTGGGTCGGACCTGGCTGTGTTTGGATGGGAGAGGGGAGGAATGCATTTTGAGATCTGCTGCATAGCCGTGTGAATGTGGCTCAGTGTACAGCATTAATAATCACGAGTGTATTATGGGTTATATGGCAATGCACAATGTTTTTACACAAATCAAATATGTTATAATTAAGGAGTGATGTATTAAATTTTTCAAAATAAGAGTCAATCTCAAATGTCCCAATATAAGAGATCAGAGTTAGGCAGACTAGTGGGGATGTTAATTAGCTTAATCTAAAGGTTCCTCCATGTACACACTTATCAAAGCATCACATGGTACCCTTGTACTCTCTACATATATGAAATTATGATTTGCCAATTAAAATAATGCTACTGAAAATGAGAAAAGTATGAATGGCCCTTGTCAATGGCTGGGAAAATCACTCGTTGATGTCCTGGACGACCACTCAGGTTAGGGTAAACGTGAATGTTTCATCCTAGAATGTCCGAGGGATCGATGCATATGAAATGCGTTATACACGTGCAAATAAAAACCTTCACCGCTGAGAACACCCCTTTGAAGAGTCTGTCCTGTTTCCTTTATTTCATGGAGGTGCTGGGGATGGAGGTTCCCCCCTTGCATAGGCTAGGAGAGTGCTCTACCACTGAGCCACAGGACACCCAGCCTAGCTACTCCTTAAAACTGCAAATTGCACCCTTGTCTTATTGAAGAAGAAGAAGAAGAAGAAGAAGAAGAAGAAGAAGAAGAAGAAGAAGAAGAAGAAGAAGAAGAAGAAGAAGAAGAACCCAAAACAAAACAAAAACAAAAAAAAAAAAAAAAAAAAAAAAAAACAACCCATGCAAGACCAAACAGATCTCACTTGAAAGGAAGAAGGCTCCACCTCAGCTCCGTCAGCTCCGAAACACTGGAGTTAGAAGTCAGTGGGGCTTGCTCCACCAACCTGGGCTTTCTCTGATCTGGGGCCTCACTGGCAGAGACCTGACAAGGCCTTGGGGATGAAGTGACCAAGATTTCAGCAGTGGGCTGTTTAAGCATGGATAGCTGCAGCCCAGGTCTCTTCTGTGTGTTAGGGAAGCGTCAGCCCCGGCCCTCTATAAGTTTTCACCAGAGGATGCTGTCGTCTTCTAGGTAGGAAAGGGGCTTTGGAGAGTTTAGATTTCAAATCTTCTCTAGTTTGGTCAGCAGGACTGGGCAGGGAATCTGAGTCCAGCGGGAGGTGGGGGGGAGGGGGGAGGGAAGGGATCCTCAGTGCTGAAACAAAACGTGGCCCTTTGCAGCCTTTAATCCCAGCACTTGGGAGGCAGAGCAAGGAGGATCTCTGTGAGTTCAAGGCCAGCCTGGTCTACAGAGTGAGATCCAGGACAGGCACCAAAACTACAGAGAAACCCTGTCTTGAAAAAAACAAAACAAAAAGAGCCACCCAGAATTCTAGGTCACTGCAGACTCTTACTCCCCCTTTCAGAAAGTTCACAACACCAGGGCAGGCCGCTTCCTGGTACCAGGTTCTGATAGCTGCAGCCTGTGGAGAACTTGCCCTTCTGTTTTTCTGAGGCTCCTCCTGGAGTCCCCCTTTCTGTAGGTTGCCCTCCGGAAGGAAGCTTGCTGTCCTCTGCAGTCCCGGGATGGGTGGGGCTTAGGGCAGGGGAGTCAATCCTCATCATACCACAAAGAAATCAGCCCTGCAAAAAAAAACTCAACGGAAGACAAAAGTAGACGCTTGCGGTCTGCAGGGGTGACTCAGTTGGTGGGGTGCTTGCTGGCCTAGCAAGAGGACCTGGGCCCAGAACCCACACAAAAATGCCTGGCTGTGGTGGGCAGAGCGGGGAAGATCTAGTCAGGAGGAGCCCTGGTGCCAGCTGGGTAGCCAGTCTAGCCTAATGGGTGGTCTCCAGACCAAGGAGAAATGCTCTTTCAGTGGAGGTGACAGCATTCCTAAGGAGGAGGACACAAAAGAGGCAGTCGTCCAGCCTCCAGAATACACACACACACACACACACACACACACACACACACACACACACACTCATACACACATATACATACACACATACACACACACATACACATACACATATATACATACACACACATACACATATATATACACACACACATACACACATATACACACACACATACACATACACACATATACATACACATACACACATATACATACACATACACACATATACATACACATACACACACATACACATACATGAATAAAAATGAAATAAAAAGCAAGAAGTATGAGGAGAATATAAACAGACTTAATTTTTTTAAGTTTTATTCCCCCCCCCCCCAAGATTTATTTTTAAGTGCATTGGTGTTTTGCCTATGTGTATGTCTGTGTGAATTACAGACAGTTGTGAGCTTCCATGTGGGTGCTGGAGATTGAACCCGGGTCCTCTAGAAGAGCAGCTTTTAACCACTGAGCCATCTCCCCAGCTCCCCATACTTGCTTTCTTAACTCATATTCATGCTCCTTAACTTGGGGCATTTAAGCTTTATATTATTATTTCCTTCCTTCCTTCCTTCCTTCCTTCCTTCCTTCCTTCCTTCCTTCCTTCCTTCCTTCC